GATGGACTGTTACTTCAGGCTTGTTCAGCGCACATTAACATCGTCACTTGCTCCTGTGGAGTAGGTTATATTGGCCGAGCGACTTGGCGTCTGTCCAAGCAGATGCGCGAACACTGTCCTTTGGCTGAGTCGAGGAATGAAAAAGTCCATTTCTAGCGCAATTATGGCTCATTAAGTTGACAACGACCACTGAGTAGGCGTCAAATGAGCATTTCGAGTCATCGACAAAGTGATGGCGAGACGCTCCAAATGTCTGCGCCAATGGATGATTGCTACGACAGAGGCAGTGGCTGTTGTTAACGAAATCAACCCCATATTAGGAGGAGGCATTCTTTCAGGCCCCCTAGCTGCCCTGGCCCAAGCTGAGCCCCATATGCTCTTCCATGCAGCCTATCATGTCACGTTACAGCTAATAAATACAAGCATAACCTTCCGGCACTCCCCTCCCGTCGCTCCCCGACAGGACCGGAACACAATTCCTTCCCCCTCTGTTCTGACTTCTAGACACCCCCAGACTTTCCTACCCTCACGACTATCGTTCATTTGCCTCTCTACCGGGGCGCATATTATTGTGTTGGCCTGATGATGAGTGATCGAAAACGTGCGTTTGTCGACTTTCATTTTTAAATCTAAGGATATATCAACTTTCGAGTTAAGCATTCCGTTAGAAAGGCCTTGAAAGTGAAATGACGGGGCGTCATCTCTGACAATCAACCGTTGAAGTAAATCATCATGCACGGGATGTACTTGATTCTGAATCATGCCCGACCCCACGGGAGCAGCTCCACCGCAATTATAGTATTTTCTAAAATTAATGTTCTATGAACCTGCTTCTACGTGAGCTTGAAGACCTACGGGACAAAACGAATACCACTGTTGGATAATTTACCACACTGACAGCACAGGTATTAGTTAAAAGCCCGGACATGCGCGTTTCGCCGATCTTGAGCCGCTGCGTGTCGCAGCCGCGAGGGTTCCGGCTCATCAGTTGGTGCCTTAGCGGACGCGCGGGCTTTCTGGTATAAATTATCTCAATTTTCCATGCTATCTTGTTTAATTCTCGACAAGAAAGTAAAGGGGGCTACCCGTGTTCCTCGGTACCCACAATGAATGTTGAGCAGTCCTTGGCGTAGTGTGTTGACGGTATTAAGTCATGTCTATGGGGTGGGAGAGGCTGCGACGTCGGTTGCGCTTGTAAGTTCGTGTGGAAGGGTGACAAGACTGCTCGTGTCCGAATTGTGAGTGCTGCATGGCCCGATTGGTGACTTCCCTTGCATACAAGTGATGCGCGTCTCAGCAGCTGATGTATGAGCGCCTGTGACTTTCTGAATGGCCGAAGATCGTTGAGTGACTGCAGATCGGCGTGTCTGGGATTGGGTGAGGTGACTTTGCTGCAAAGAACATTTGTGGTAAAGGAGAGAGATATTGGCTCCTCAAAGCCCCAAAACGAAGCTACACGGTGCAATCATGGCGGCCGGCCACAAATGCACACTCTCAATGGATTCCGTACATACATACCTGCTCGCCGTCGCATCGACTGCGGAAAAATGCAACGTCTAAAACCCACGGGACATGGAATTTACTTGTTCATCACTGTTCGCGAATTAAGGATCGGTGTTCATATTTAGTGGGAAGAAAATGCTGCTGGATCTTTTGACCCAAAACGAGGCCTGCATTCTGCAAAGGGCTGTTTGTCACGGCAAAACCCTGCTCAGTATTTAAGGTTCTGGAAGTTGTGGTGGTCGTAGTAGTGAATACGCTAAAAACATTGGTTAGAACGTTTGTGTTAATGTTGACAAGGTGCATCAGTACATCATTAGATCCCACAAATACGGCAGTTTTCTCAGGCGAAGGGTTAGTGTGAAATCTGAGGTGTTTGCCGCTAGACTATGATCAAGATGACAAGCATTTTATCTTCAAATGGGAAAACCTGTTGACTGACACAGACTTATTAAGGACGCCCACCCAGGCTGTGTACTAACTGCAAAACTTTCACAAAGTTGTATTTGGGATGAGGTGCGTAGGTGTAGAGTTACAGCAAAAAACAGTAGATCATTATACGGGTAATGATGATGGTGGAACTTGCGTTTTGTTGAGGTGCAAGCGGTCACTTAACTCATTAGTAAATATTTTAAAACCTGAAAGTTTAAGCTCGACGAACAAACTGTCATTTTGCGCTGCGATTTGTTCGGATGTGTATACATCTTGCCTGAACCATCCTCCCCTTTTAGAGGTAATCTACGACAATTATTAACGTCGTCGTTTTTGACTGATTATTCTGTGATACACACAAACTAGCACGTAAAGTGAAATTCGTGGAAACAGGTGTTTGGCCCACACAATTCCACACTTTTGCGGCTACCCCCGAAAACATGAGGCTTTTCTATTGGCTGGATAATAGCTTCAAATCCTTGGACTTGGACAGTCAAGAAACTGTTCCCTGGATTTCTGGACACCAAACATTAACATTCATTACTTTGTCCAACGAACTCTAGTATTACTTCATACCTAGATGCCAACTCTGATTTCCTTTTTTTCCAACAGGGTGCATCGGATGTGCTTTGGTTTTTAACGAAACATGTAGAAAACTTATCGCTCTTATGAAAGGGGTTCAGGTCTCTAGTTATTTATGTAGGATATAGAATCCAAACGCGAGAATCCAGTCAAGTTTAGGGGGTCATGGGGTAAGCACTGCATACTTTTACCGCCTACCAAAGTTCTCTTCACATGAAGTAGTCATCTTCCTGGAATTCACATTCTGTCAGCTTCGTTTTTTGTCAGCGCCTATTTTTCAAGAGAATATATTTTCATTGTTGCATCTCCATTGCAAGAATGATGGACGCCGCTCCGGCATTAAGCTTCAGGTGGGCCAGACAATTCAGCCATCGTAAGCGATGATGTATATCACGAAGTGAAGGAAACAGGACGTTGACTTGCGTGTGAAGTAGTTCATAATGACAGCAGACTCTCGCTGCATCTGCCACACTCTCTCCTCTTTCACCCATCTAGGTCTAGTGGCAGGACAGAATCTGGACCGCCGGAGGCTGACTCGGGCGCAGTGGCTGACCAAACCGAACCGTTTGGATTACGCTCCCCAGAGTCGACTCAAGTCTCTTCCCTCTCCCGTGCACTAGTCGGCTGTCCGAGCCAGTATGCCACCTGGTCGTGGGATTGGGCGAAGGCCGCGCATGGGCCTGACGCTGTAGCGGCCGAGTAGGGTGGCGTGTGTAAAGGCGCGTAGGCATCAAACGCTGGGTACGGGAGTTTTAGCTCCGCGGGTCAGAGTTGTTTCTTCTAAAAGTAGGCGCTATGCCTTCATACATACTGGTAAGCGATAGAGGCCGCGTAGAAACAAGTGATCAGATAACAAATGATTTATTATTGAAACGTGACTAAAATAGAGGATCAAATAGACTCAAGTAGATCTAAATCTGATAATGGCAACTGGATACGTGAATGTTGACGATTCGGTAAAATGCATAGGCCTGTGCGGACTCTTTTGGTGGCCCTTGTCAATCGATAACGGGATCCCACGCCAAGACCAAGTCGAGAAAAGCCAAGCTTAACGGCCACGCCAGAACGGACTTAACTGTCAACGCCGCCCAGTGAAGAACAAAGGCAGTGGGTGGAAGGTCAGTTAGTTAAACCGCAACTCACACCAGTTCGAGTTTCTGCGTAACCTTCAGATAAACATCAACTTAAACAAACGTGAATAAATGTGAGGTTAGGAAAGGCCTAAAAAGTAGAATAATTATAAAGAGTTGTGTATAAACAAAAATATGATAAAGGACTGCCATAGTACTCCCGGCCAAGGCCGGCGTAAAACCGACGCCGAAGGTATATGAAATGCTACTACACCTAAGTGATAACGCGGTCGAGAAAGTGGACGCGACGGCCGCTACGAGCAGTGTGAATGCCATTCTCATTGGAAGAGTAAGGGTCGGAGGCGGTGGGGGGAAGTGGGACGGGAGAGGGTTGGGAGGGTGGAGGAGCGTTGGGTAGGGGAGGTGGAGGATTAGAGGGTAAGGGGTCAACACAGTCTTGTCCTTGAGGCATGTCCGGCGGCTATTCTGCGACAGCAGCCTTAACCCGGTCGACACTGACCACGTCCCAGTCACCGCGAAGGATCTGGCAAGTCTTGGTATTGCGTGCGAGGACACGAAACGGTCCCTCGTATGGTGGTTCTAGCGGCTGGCGAACACGGTCACACCTAACGAACACATAAGTGCACTTGTCCAAACCTTTTTCGACACACGACTCGGTCGTTGGAGTTCGAGGTGCAACGGGGGAAAGCGAGCGCATAAACTGCTTCAGACGGTGCACCACGAGAAGTTGGGGTGACCATCTCGCCTGGCTGTCTGATGTTAGTGCCGAAAACCAATTTAGCTGCGCTACAGTACAAATCCGACTTCAGATCAGCGCGAACGCCGAAAAGTGCAAGGGTAAGGTTGTCTGACCAGTTTCCTGGGTTTTCTGTGGCACTCAGGACAGTCTTTAGTTGGCGATGGAAATGCCCAACCATACCGTTGGCAGCTGCGTGATAGGCTGTCGTCAGAATGCGCGTTCAGCCAAGAAATTTGAGGAACGTTTGGAAAAGTGCAGACTCAAACTGGGCACTACGATCAGTCGTAACCGTGGAGGGGGCACCGAACATGGCAACCCAACGACTGACGAGGGCCTTTGCGATAGTTTCAGCCTGCATATTCGGCAAAGGAATGGCTTCAGCCCAGCGGGTGTACCGATCAGCGCAGATATGAAGGTGAATATAGCCATTGGATGGAAGCAAGGGGCCTACGACATCCAGGTGCACATGGCTGAACCGTGCGTCGGGGCTGGAGAATGCGCCTGGTGGGGACTTGTTGTGACGCCGCACCTTACTGCGCTGGCAAGTCAGACACGAATGCGCCCAGGCCAGACGAACCTTTCCGCCTGCAGCTTTTGTGAGATTCGGATCCCAGGATGGGAGAGTCCATGGAGGGTTTGAAAAATAGCTCGATGCATCAAGGCAGGCACAAAAGAGCGATGGAAAGGAGTCGAAACGTCACAAAGTATGGTACCAGAGCCGGTGACCAGAGAAACATTTTCGAGCTGGAGACCACTAACGGACTCTTCACCAGGATTCCTTGTTGCTCGGCCGCCATGGCGCCAAGGTCGATCTCATGTGAGAGTTGGAGGGAAGATATTGAGGGTCCGAACAGCATATCAACCACCTCATTCTTCGTGCCATTAATGTGACGGATGTCGGTGGTGAACTGGGAGATGTAGTCCAGGTGAGCGATCCCCCCAGGATTGCACTTGTCGGAGAGGGTGCTAAGTGCAAAAGTCAACGGTTTGTGGTCAATGAAAACAATGAAGTCCCGACCTTCAAGGAAATGCCGGAAATGCTTCACAGCCAGGTAAATGGCAAGTAGTTCACGGCCAAAGGTAATGTAGCGGGTCTCAGCCGACAAAAGCTTTATGGAGGAAAAGGCCGGTGGTCGATTCGAACTAGTAAGGTGTTGTTGAAGGACTGCACCTACGGCTACGGCCGCAGCATCTACCATCAGGGACACCGGAGCTTCGGGGGCAGGGTGCGTGAGCAAGGTGGCGTCGGCAAGGGAATTCTTGACTCTCTCAAAAGCAGTTAGTGCTTCATCAGTCAGCTCGAGGAGGCCTTTGGCACCAGAAAGCATGTTGGTGAGCGGCAGCATGAGGTCAGCATAGTTCGGCAGGAACCGGCGGTTAAATTTGATCATGCCGAAAAATCGCTGCAACTGACGCTTGTAGGTTGGTGAAGGAAAATCACGAACTGCTTCAACCATGGAGGACAGGGGGCGCATACCTTCAGAGTCGACATGATGGCCGAGGAGTTTGAGCTAAGGCATATCCAGCACGCACTTGGAGGGGTTGCTGACAACACCAGACTTGTCGAGGCGGTCAAACACCAAGGCAAGGTGCCCTTTTTGTTCTTTGGCATTCTGGCTGACCACCAAGACGTCATCGATATAGGCTTACACAAACAGTAGGCCACGTAAGACATGTTCAATGAATATCTGGAACGTTTGGGCAGAATTACGAAAACCGAAGGCCATGCGAATGAATTCGCAGAGACCGAAAGGTGTAGTGACGTCGGTTTTTGGGATATCCTCAGGGACCACGGGAATCTGATGAAAGGCACGCACCATGTCAATCTTCTTTGCGCAAAAATGGCTCCGACGAAATCCTGAAGATGTGGCGCAAGGTACTGATCAGGAATGGTGACATTACTGAGGGCATGATACTCGCCGCAGGGTCTCCAGTCGCCCGATGCCGCCTTGGACACCATGTGCAGAAGGCAGGGCTTTCGGACAGCCGCATAATGCCTAGTTCCAGCATGTGTTCAAACGCTGACTTCGCAGTCCAAAAAACGAGCCGGTGCTAGTCATCTAGCCCGAACGAACACAGGAGGACCTGAGGTGCGGATATTGTGCACATCATCATGTCGAATCTCACCACCGTGAAGCTGAGGGTGGATTATGTTGGGGTGTTTAAGAAGCAGTTCCCGAAAGGGGCTAGCAATGGCTATACCCAAGACAAATTAATTGCAGTAGGTAGTGAATGGAGTTAAACCATGCACAGAGAGACCAGTTGTGCGGTCGAGGAGTCGGGATCGTCGGCATTCAACAAGGAGATCGAACTCGGTTAGAAAGTCTAAACCGAAGATTGCATGAGGAACATCGGCAATCACAAAGACCAATGAAGGCAAATGTTTAAGGTGAGGGACAGATTGCCAAGAGTGGGAATGGAGAAACAGTTGGCAGCTTGGAGGTTAAGACCAGGGCTGGGGAAACGACGGTCGGCTGTAGTTGGGAGGACAACGCCGATTTGGGCTCCAGTATCCACAAGGAAACGTCTGCGAATCACACTGGCGCAAACATAGAAGGTGCGGCCAGAGCCGGAAGAGCCAGAGAAAATGATCGCCTGTATTCTCTGGCTGACTGGTTCCTCTACTTGGACATGAACGAGCAGGGGGAATAACATCGGCGAGCCTTCACACCAAAATTGCTATGATACCAACAAATATCGGCCGTTCGATGTTGCGAACAGGAACGACTCCGGCGAAATGAGCGACTAGAGGTAATGCGTGTAAGCTGGAGTTTTAGGGACGTCATCTCTTCTGCTATGGTCGCCATCTGCGTCTCAATCTGCTACCTTGGCGTCGCTAACGAGGAAATGGAGAGCCTGGCGGCAGAGAACGGTTGGAGCTGTTGCACCTCCAACATCTTCTCCGCCATCTTCGCTAGCCGTGAGACCGAGAGATATTCTGAGCCAGATGCCAGAATGGTTTGAACATCAGCCGGCAGACCCTCCAGGAACATTTGCTTGAAATGCCTATCGTGGACATGGAACTCACCACGGAACCCTTGCATCCTTCTAAGAAGTTCGGTGGGTTTTCAGCCACCCAAACACCCCTCGCGAATTAGCTGGTGATACCGCTGGCGATCAGACACAGCGTGAAGTCAAAGGAGTGCTGCATTAAGCTGCGTGTATGGTTAATCGGCTGGGGGACTCTGGATCAGTGATTGTACATGAGAAAGAACCTGTAACGGCAAAGCCTGAATCAGCCTGTGAAATTTGGTGACTTCTTTGGTAATGTTCGCAAAGTAAAAACTTGACTTAATGCAAAGGAAGTAGCGTTCAGGTGCTTTCGTCTGACAGAGACGATGTTACTGCGCTAATAGAATCGCCTCTACTAGCAGGAACGTCCGTCAGAACTATGATTACGGAAGGACTTGAGTGAAAGTGCACTCGAGGAAAGAACCAATACAGCACTTCACAATGGTTGGCTGGCTATTGTCGGCGAGTGAGAACGCGTGAAAGGGCGACGCGCGTTCTCGTTCAGCGGTCACCACTTTAGCGGGCCTGGTCAATCGATAATGCGATCCCGTGCCAAGACCAAGTCGAGAAAAGCCAAGCAAAACGGCCACGCCAGAACGGACTTGACTGTCAACACCGCCTAGGGAAGAACAAAAGCAGTGGGCGAAAAGTCAGTTAAACTGAAACTCGCACCAGTTGGAGTCTCAGTATGACCGTTCCATAAACACCAACTTAAACAAAGGCGAATAAATCTGAGTTTAGGAAATCCTTGACAAATCGAATAATTGTAAAAATCCGTGTATAAACAAAAATATGACAAAGGGCCGTCACACTACCGTCACCGATCTAATCCCCGGTTTGGCTCAGCATCTCTACAGTGTGGACCGTACTGAAGGCCATTCGGATGGATCCAGGGATACTGTAGTTCAAATTCCTCAGTAAATAGAGGTCAGTTCCTCATAGACCTCCGAGGTCGGAGGATCCAGTCGGACGAAATGATTGTCTCCTTCGATGTGACGTCATTATTCCCATCCATCTCAACAAACTTGGCTCGCGAAATCTTGCGCAAAAAACTTGAGGAGGCGTACGACGAGACTCAGAATGCACTCATAATTGAACACCTTATGAGGCTGTTTGAATTCTGCCAACAAGCTTTCTTCACTTTTGCTGGGGAGACCTATGAACAAATCAAGGGAACTCCGGTTTAGTGGTAGAACTGGTCCTACAGGAGCTAGAAAAGATTGCTTTCATCCAACCTGAACCAGTATTTTGACGCCGTTACGTAGACGACACGTCTGTTATCGTAAAGAAGGGCATGCTACAACATTTCCACAACCTGCTCAACGCAATCTTTCCTGATATAAAATTCACAAGGGAAGATGAACAGGAACAGCAGTTGTGCTGTGCTCGTCAGGCGGAACCTTAACGGTTAACTTGAAACGACTGTTTATAGGAAGGCGACGAACACCACACAACTCAGTTTTCACAGCAGCTGTCTGGTGGTTCACAAGCGAAGCTGTGGGAAGACGCTCTTCAAACGGATCCAAACTCACTGCAGCAAACCGGAGGGAAGAGCACGTGAGGCCCGTTGTTTCCGCAACCAGTCTGTGCCAAATAGCTATCCGAAGGCATTTATAAGTTGCTGCCTACTCGGTCGCCCCGGGAGGACCCAAACAACAATACCATCGACGATACGGCATTCTCTGGCATACACCAAGGGCGTTTCAGAAGCGACCGAGCGCGTTGTTGCGGAGCTAGGTGTTGGAATTGCACACCGCCCCAAAGCCACCATGCGCAGTAAGGTCATGAAAATTAGAGACCGATTAGAGTCTGAGGAGCAATCTGAAGTAGTATCGCATCCATTACCAAAACTGTCCTTGTATCTATACAGGCCAGACTGGATGCAAGCTCGGATCGCGCAGTCTTGCGCCGTCGGTCGATGACTGGCTTACGCACCCTATAACTGTCCTTTGTTCTGTTGCTGCCACTATCTCTGACGATGGACTCCTACACGAGTTCGAAAGCTCAGAACGCTAAACAGAATATTCCGGGGCTCGATCATCCTTTTTCTTCATTTATACATCCACCTAGAACTCGAACCTCATTCATTCGCCTTCATTCGCCAGGTCATTTTTATTCAGTTTTTACCGATTCGTAGCTTCCATGCTATGCTGTGATTCAGTGACATGCACCACTTTTCCGCCTTTTGTTTACCTTATCGAGCCTTCTGATGGTCATCACGTTAGCCATGATTTATCCTCTGTGACCCGGTACGATTGATTATTTGGACTAGAATCAGGCTGTTTCGGCGGTTGTAAATAAAAGGCGATGCCACCAATCTTTTAACGTTGCCAGTTTTACGGATTCATAAACAAAAGTTAAATTTGACATCTTTTCTCTCAGACCAACATTTGTAGGCTTCAGCCCAAAGCTCAGACGCATATCTCAGTTGCCAGACCGAATTGACACAAAGTGTTCTTTAAGACCGGTTATTGTTGGAGGAACAGAACGATTTGTCGTGATGTGGAATTTAAAATAAGAGATCTAATGAAATGACAAGTATGGCTTGGACGCAAGTAAACGCCTACATACAAAGAGTCTGTGAAACTGGGTGCACAAATTTGAGTTGTCTGTTGCTTGCGCCTGTTGGTAAATGTGTGTGGGACACAGAAATAATTCGGACCAAAAAGTGAAGTTACTTCTTAAACATTGTTATAAAGATGCAATTGGCCATAATCGTGTTTCCCTTATATCGTAATGTTGTGGTCGCATGCGGATTTACAGGGAGCAAAACATTGCGAGCCTACTACATGAAATTTGGGCGAGGTTTGATTCTGCAGTTACACTTGATTAATACCATATAGTTCGCCTAATAAAACAGATTTAGTAAACATACCTTACTTGGGCGCTGGCTAGATTAGGAGGGGGGAAGAGAGCGCAAGCAGAGCTCGAAGCACGCGCAGGTAAGCGCGTTCGAACCGATGCTTGGTGTAACCGGAGGTGGTGTGTACGCACTCCCCCCGCGACACAGCCACTCACTGGATTCAGGGGATTAGGAGGGCGCAATCACAACCGGAAGGCCACGGAGAGAATTGTATGTTAATTCGCAGTTCATGGCAACCATAATGGAATCGACGGAGTTCCATTCCATCCGAAAGATGTCATTAGCAAGCCTGCGTATCTCCCTCGATTAATTTGGATAATAAAGAAGGCGGAAGCAGGGCTCGAAGCACGCTCAAGGAACTGATACCTGATGTAACCGAGGCTGACACATAAACACTCCCCCCCCCCCGAGGCTCAGACACGCCGGGTTAAAAAGTAAGAAAGGTGCAAACACTTGACGTATGTAAATTCAGCGTAATCGCACCTACCAACACTGTTTTAGGAAGTAAACCATATGGCATCAATCAGGTGGGACTACAGGACCAGGCCTCCGTCACTCAAGACTATCAATCGCCTCTATGGAGCGAGCAAATTCTTTCGG